CCACCCCCCCTTGCGTCCTGCCATCCTGGAGGTTACGCTGCTGTGTGACTGGGTGCTGCGAGTAAGCCTCCTCCGACCGGCAGGGCAACCCCCTAATCGAAGGCCACGGACTGGGAAAGGGAAGCCCTGTAACAGTTCCCCCTTGCTAGGTGGCTAGTGCCACAAGGGATGGCCTGATCTTCTCTCTTGTCTTCCCCCCCCCTGATCTCTTGGGATGTAAAAACATGCTTGCCGGTAATAAGCAACCGGAGTGTTGCCCCCCAGAATAGAAGGGGCATGGGTTGCAACCAAAAAAAAATAAAAAATAAAAATTCCATTATTATTATTTTCCATAGCAAAATGCATGTCATAGCGACATGGTGGAAACCCTGCACGGACAAATGAGATGGAGGCAAAGGGTGATAGAGCTGCAGGAGGCCGTTCCCCCCCATTTGGAGGGTCTATTAAGAAAGGACGAACTGACTCCCGGGGAGTGGGTGAAGATTAAGGGGGAGATGAGACCAGAGATAGTTTACAGAGTTGAATGGGTATTGGCCGATGGGAGAATGTGGAAGTCACGGGATGGTTAACTCGGGGTATGAAGGACTGGGGGCACCTCTGCAGAAAGATAGCGTACACGAAGGAAGCCCCCCCCCAAATAAAAAGCAGATAGGAGCCTCATAGAAACCGTGGCGATATGTGATGGAGGTCCGAAGGGGGAAAAACAATACCAGCCATACCGAAAGGCAGCTAGGTGACGGGATCTGACCTGAGACCTGGCAGAGTGGGAATGGCCGGCCCAGAGAATGCTGAGGAAGCCGGTACCACTCCATGATCTTACTGCAAAAAACATCTACAACTCACTGCTGGAGCCAGTTGACATCTGCGCGGAACTGAGGAACCGATGGGCCAAAAGGGGCTGGCTCCCTGATGTGTATTTCAACAGGTGGACACAGCGGACCTGGAATGCGCAAAAAAAGCGCCATTTAGGTCGCGCCCTGTCAGACCAGAAGCAGGCTGGCCTGCTGTGGAAAATTTACCATCTCACAATCCCCACAGTGCAATGGCTGGCAACCAAGAGTCAGCACAGAGAGCAGAGCTGCGCTGTGGGGTGTGGACAGGTGGAGTCCCTCCCTCACTTTTTTGTGTGATGCGCGGTCGCCCAGGCCTTTTGGAAATGGTGGTGGGTCCGAAGTAGCAGAGGTATCCCCGCTGGATGTTACAGAGGCAGACAATGCGACGAGCCTCCTCGGGGGGAAAGTGGACAGAATGAAACCGGAGGATTTGCTTGCAGCAGAAATCATTTGAGCGGCAATATTATGGGCCCTTTGGACCCTGCAGAACGAGCGCTGCAGACAGGGATCATCTCCACCGGTGCAAGTATATCAAGACCGGGCATTAGAGAGCATAGTTCCAATTTCAACGGGTGTTTCAAAGGACTCCAGGGTGGGATAAGGCATCACTTTCGAGGCATAGAACACATGGTGAGTCTTTATGTGCGGAGGTATGCATGGCCACGAGGGGGAAAGGTCCATCCGGGCCAGTGCCAAGAGCATACAGTATCTCCCACAGTCCACAGCACATAGGTAGCAGTTGTATGACGACATCTTCTCCAACTCCAGACTTCTCCATGCTCACCCATACCATGCCTCCCTCCTTGAAGATACAAGGGTGGCGGTGCACTTCTTGGCTTGATCGGCCATCAGCTGCCGAACCTTCTGCACAGTCTTTATAGCTTGTCAGATCTCCTTTACAAACTGGACGATGTAATTTTTTGGGCCCCTTTTTGGGTTCTCGAAGGGTACTCGAGCTGCTGATCTGGAACCAAAAAGTCCACAGGAAAAAAGCGCGGTGTCTGTCCTCGATGCAAATCAACATGTGTGTGTACACACAGTTGCAGGGTGCACACAACTTCTGTAAACATCTGCTACCTTGGGCAAGTGTAGGTCCCAATCAATCTTATAGGGCCACATCATATGTTGCACGACCTGCTGTAAAGTCCTCTTCATTTCTTTCTGTCTGGTCGCCACTATCTGGGTGGCGTGTCCAACCAGTGTAGCATGCTAGGACGTGAGATTTGGTCCTTGTTGATGGGCCTGCCGACCCCCCCCTGCAGGTTGTGATGAAGGCCTTGCCAGACTTTGTCGTCAATGTTGTGGATGACGGGACGGGACAGCTGCAGCGTCATCGATGCCGTCTCCTGCACCAACTGCTTGGACATGGCATCAATCAACCTCTCCATCCTGTCCATGCCCGCAGCATGAAGTACATAGTGATTGGCATTGAACGCTAAGAGCCTACCGTCTTCACCCGAATAGAATGTCCGGTCATTATAGCTGCATTTGGCCCAACTTTCAGTCAAGATGCAGCAATAATGACCGGGTGTTCTATTCGGGTGAAGACGGTAGCCTTTCCCCCAGATAGGGCCCTTTGTCGTTACCAACTTCCTGGAGAGTCTCGAAGGCCCCTCTTCTACAGTTAGTTCACCATTCTGTGCCCCCTTGATTCCAGCGTCCAGGTTGTCTTCTTCCTACTTACGTCTCGCTTCCAGTTCCTCCTTCCTCCTCTGCAGCTCAGTTGCTGATTGCTTGCTTGGCCATATCCTGTTTTTCAATTTTCACTTCAGTGTGTTCCTGCACCTGAAGGAGGATGCAACTCCTCGTGGGGTGGGTGGGTGTAAGGCATTTCCAAGCCTCTAAATGTGTCACCTGAACAATTACAAGATCCTGAGCTGCTGGCCACACTTCACTCAATCGCCGGCCTGCGTACATCTCCTCTTTTCTCCCCTCCCTCCTCCAGGCACACTAATTATCACTCAGAAAAAAAACTGTGTGCAACGAAGTATGAAGTTTGGTGTGTGGTTGACAGGTGGCAAGGCCAACTGCTGATGTGGCAGCTAATCAAGCCCAACACGTGTCCGAAGTCAAGCCCTTCACCGCACTTTCTTTCACGCCTGAATAAAACTGAATCACACTTGATCGGAGGCTTGCATCAAAAGGACGGGAGTCGTAAATTCACAGTCTCACACTAAGAGATAGTCGACGAAACCAGGAGAAGCTTATATACGACCGGGCGCCTTGCTGCCCTGAGCAACATTCAACAAACGGATCGAAAAACCGTTCAGCGAGCCACAGGGTCTCACTCACTGGCTATGGCTGCATTCCAGCTTCCTGCTTTCAGCGCTAAATCTAGTGCACTGTCCGTTCCACCAAGCAGCGAAACTTGAGGAACGAAGCCGTTTTGGTCCGGTAGTGCCGATCCCCAAAACTTTTGGCAAATATATTTGTCCGGTGTTACAATTTTGTCTCGGCCGCAAAGTGGTGGCATCAGAAAGAAGGAAAGAAAAAAAGAAAGAAAGAAAGGTATTGCAAAAAGCACAATTTTGAATTTTCAATTTTGTGCATGATTCAGTTACTTTTAGTTATTAAAATTTTATTACAAATGTCAAAATAAAGTGCTGCTTCACATCTCAAAAAGTAGGGACAGAGCTCCAGAGTATTCTACGAACCTGGACATAGGCATACTTATTGAAGAAGCGAACGAACCCCTCAACAAAGCCAAAAAGGCATGCCAGGCAGCAATTGCAGCATTCATTTTTGCCAGTTCTTGCGCGCACACTGCGAACCTGCAAAAGACAGGACAACATTGACGATCATCAGAGCCTGACAGCAACTCCTTCCATCCCCCTCAGAGAAGCGTAACGACAATCTCAACAAACAAATCATTAATCGTTTAGACTAATTTCCATGGTTACGCCGGACCCGGACACAGCTGGACGTCTCGCCGGACCGACGTCCGGAAAAATCCGGGCCCAAAAAAAAACAAAACAAAAAGGTTACAGAAGGTTTACAGACAAGGGGTGAATTAGGCCATACCTACCTCAAGGCAGTATCCAGGCTGTTCACCTCTCTCTCTCTCTCTCTCTCTCTCTCTCTCTCTCTCTCTCTCTCTCTCTCTCTCTCTCTCTCTCTCTCTCTCTCTCTCTCTCTCTCTCNCTCTCTCTCTCTCTCTCTCTCTCTCTCTCTCTCTCTCTCTCTCTCTCTCTCTCTCTCTCTCTCTCTCTGTGTGTGTGTGTGTGTGTGTGTGGGTGGGTGTGCCTGCCCGTGTGTTTGTGTGTATCCGTGTGTGTGTGTGTGTCCGTCTGTGTGTGTGTCCGTGTGCGTGTGTTTGAGACTGTCACCAGAACAACCCCCTTTCCATTGAGAGGAGTAGATCCGTCATTGAAATAGCCTGACCTTACAATCTTCTACCCAGTTGCACATGGTACTTCTCTTGACTGTCATGTTTTGATGAAACGGCTGTTTCATTGTCATATTCTAAGAGGAGCAAAGTCCACCACGTCGGTGTACTTGAGAGTCCGAATGCATATACGCTGCTCTAATACACACCATTTTGCTTTGTGGACACCCTGATGTGCATGCCGCAATAGCAGTCAGTCTCTACCACTCTTCCTCTCTCCCACTATTTACGGTGGACGTTTTTGCCATCATGTCGGCACCTCAACCGGTGTCACAGCACAGTCAACCGCAACAAACCGTAAAAGGTGCCCCGCACATAACAGGCCATGACGAAAAAGCTTATCCAGAGAACGAAGCTCCTGGAATGTCTGCGCTTTGCAAACGTCATTATTATGCAGAAACACAGCAAAATGCAAAAGTATGAAGAGCCTCACATGAAATGATGATCCCACTTGTCAATGAACACGTCTCGAATACTTTGTAATGTTGCATGCATGAACTCGACACATGAAATTTAACAGACAAGATGATGAAGGAGGAAAGAAGAAGATGACGGAGGAGATGGCGATGGTAACGATTTCATTGATCATCAGAGGTTGTAAAGGCAATCCTCTCCTCTCCCTCTCTCCAGCACTGGGTTCTTTCTCACAAATTACCTCCCTTCCTCTCTCACCAACAGCTCTCCCCTCAACCAACTGCCAACGTTGCTTCTGTCTCACCACAGAGGAGAGAGCTGGCTGGCTTCAACATTGCATCCACTATGATGTATCTGGACCTTGACATTGTCCAGATGCAGTCAAAATGTTGGAATCCTCCGAATGCACCTGGTCGATTCAGATGTAGGACAGAAATCGACACCAACTAGAAACAGAACATGAATGAAGAATCAAGTGCGTTTCTTGGCGTTTTAGCTAAGACCAAGTATAATACCTTGAGCAGAGGGAGAAGGTGAGAGAGAGTGAGCAAAGGGGGTAGGAGGGAGGACGGAGAGGGAGCAGGGAGGCAAGTAAATAGCACATTCGCGATGAGAACCATTTGATTCGCTTGAGCGGCAGATTGGGTTGCAGCGCGTTGGAAGAGATACTCACCGCCCATCGGAGGACACGGAATGCTGCCGTGAAGAGGGAGCCAAGGCAGATGCTGCCTAAGGAGGTGGTGAGTGCATGCCTCAGTGAAGACAGCGTCGGATAGCGCGGCATTGGCACTCTATCGTCTGCAGAATGGACGACTGCAAGAGCAACGACGCCTGCCACCATCACGTGCATGATGTTTGCAAACACGGCACCTGTCCAAAACAAGCTCACTGCAAATAACTGATATTTGTGGAGAGAGCATATCGAAAACAAACAGAGCAAACAAGGCAGGACGGGTAGGCACAGATGGAGGGTGGGTGAGAGTGGGTAAGAGAGTGGCCATGCTCAACATGTGGTTCGAGGAGGAGAAAGGCAAGGGAGAGGAGGACAGAGGGGCGTTCAGACAGTGCAGTGCACGGGGAGAGAGAGAGGGGGGGGGGGAAGAGAATATGGCAGTTTCGGTGAAAATTTCGGAGAAAATGACACCACATAATAACCACGTGTGTGTGGAGAGAGAGAGAGAGAGAGAGAGAGAGAGAGAGAGAGAGAGAGAGAGAGAGAGAGAGAGAGAGAGA